GCGTTACCGGAAGCTACAGTCAAGAATATGACTGCGGAGTGGGCGCTGGAGAACTATCGGGAGAAATACCGAAGGAAAACAGAAAATATCGGAAAAAGGAGGACGAAACGGTTTAAATAAGAAATCGTGGATCGTTTAATATATTTCTTGTAGTGTCGGTGTGTTTGTTTGGAAATTCTATTTTTATTTTTTATAAATTTATTTTCGGTCGAACGCAAGACTCGGTTACGATACCGATATTTTTGGATTGCGCCACCTCTGATGCACGGAACAAAAAAAACAACAACAAAGGACCGAAACACCAATTTGCCAATTGGCAGTGGAAATTGCCAAATAATTACTATAAGTGCGCCGTGCCTTGGTCGCGAGTAATTTATTTGGAAAGTGGAGGATGTTGGAGTTGGGGTAGCGATCGTGAAAAGTGGCTAGAGTGCACGAATTGTACGGAATCGCGAATTTTATATTAAAATTGGCACTTGCGCGGAGTATGTATGTAGTGTATGGAGCGCGGTATTTTTCTACGGGGAGTGGTATTTTTATGGTATGGAATTATGTATGTTATATAGTTGGGAGCCAACTATGCAAGTAAATGTAATAAATAAATAAATAAAATAAATAATAAATTTAATTAAGAAAACACAGGTAGCTGGATGGATACTTTTAATGCTGCTGTAATGTGTATATGTTGGTATGTGTGTGTGTTCACTGGCACTTGGAGTGTGCCAGTGTATATTGTATTAGGGTAGGGCGCGGATGGAATGCTCTTGGAGACCTGTATATCAATGTAGGTGTGTGGGAATTCACTTGCACTTGGCTCGTGCCAATGTATATATTATTGGGGTAGGCCGCGAATGGAACGCACTGAAGAAATATTAGTGTATGTGTGTGTGAATTCACTTGCACTTGGAGCGTGCCATGGTATATTTGATTGGGGTGGGTCGTGCTGGAATGCACCTGTTGAGACACGGATGTAGATGTGTGTGTATGTACGCAAGCCGCTCTTATGGGCTTGAATGTGCGTACATACATATGCGCGGAATGCACTTATTTTGGTTTTAATTTTTTTTTTTTTATTTAATTTGTCCGCAAATCATGGACAGACACAAGTAATCGGAAAAAACTACCGTATCACTGGTAGTTGAAGGGGAATGACGGGAGAACGGCAGGAATCGCCGATAATATGGCGGTGTCGAAAAAAGAAGAGACACGGATAACGGAGATGGCGAGAGTACATATATAAGACTATATATATGTACTTCGGTCGCGGCACTTTGAACTCGCGGAATTTTCTCTGGACCACAAACCGCTAAATGGAGGCGGTTTATGGTAAAGAAGGCAAGCGTACTTATCTTGTGATTCCCTGGTGCGGTGAAGGCGATGCCGTGCTCGAAGGCTGGAGAAGCTTTTGGGGAAGCAGTAGTATCCGGCTCGAAGGACCAATGATTTGAGCGTAGAGGCGTCTCAGGGTGTCCACCAGAGAGTCCCAAGATAAGTTCCCAAAGATAAAAGGCGTTAAGGTCCGGGTTCTTCTAATATATATTTCGGGGGTGTGTTCTGTCTGTGTATATGTATATGCGCGAGCAAAAACGTCCGTTTTGCGTTGAAGCGAATTGCGAATTGAAGCTCGATCGGTTGTACTCCAGCTGCCGAGGGCTGTCGGCGGCGAGAGCGGGAGCGTGATCGTGAGCGTGGGCGGGAGCGGGAGCGCAAGCGTGGTGAATATGCGCTCGAGAGCGCGTCACCGGGGGAAAAAAGCTCCTAAGCGTGAGAGCGAGGGCAACAGCTTGCGTAGCTGGATTGCTAACAGTGGTGTGGCTGGAATGCCCACAGAGCTGTTGCCCCGCCAGCGCCGCCCTCACTCTAAACACCCGGCAACAACAACAAGACGAGCGTCGGCTCTCGCGGGCAAAAAACAACGCGTACTTCTTTATACGCTCGCCAAAAGCAGCAGTACCAACAAAAACTGCATCACTGCAAGTGAACGAGGAGAGAGCACGCTCTCTCTCCCCTGCATTGCAAAGTGGGTCATGGAGTGCTCAGTGCCCATCCCCCGACTCGTACTGCCTAACCAGCGATTTGCTAATATCGACAACAACTAGTACAATGCCCTCGCTCAAAACTGTGTCTTCGACCACAACAACGACAACAACCACAACAACAACCACTGCAATTGCTCAGCGCCCGATACTGTCGACCCACTGCGACAAGCCCCGCCTCTCCCAACCAATAAGTTCAAAAAATGCTAACGGAGCGTTAATTCAGACTGGGCTCGATCGCTATGTGCAACTCAAAAGAAAATTGAGCCCACAAAATGTGAAGAACAACAATGCAGCTAAAATAACTAAAAAAAAAACCGAGAACACTGTGCCACAGAAGGCACTAGCAAACAATCGATTTTGCGATACTAAGTGTCCCAAATGAAGATGAGATCGCCCAAACACCCAAGGCCAAAAAATTAAGACCGCCACCTATTTATGTTCGACAGGCAAATTGTGCTGAACTGGTCAAAAAAATAGCTGATACAATTTGCGTAAACACATTCTATGTCACGCCCATAAAAAGGGGTAACATAAATGAAACAAAAATACAAGTCAATGACGAACAAAACTATCGATCAGTTGCGAAATACCTCGAAAATGAAAAAATGAATTACTACACCTACCAACTTAAAAGTAGCAAAGGATTACAAGTGGTGTCGCGGAACGGATTAACTCTAACGATCGATAGTATTCGCATCTAGTATTTTTGAAGAGATTAGGTATTTGGGTGACCTGCGGTCACATTAAAGTTAAGAAGTCAAGCCATGTTTCCCGCTTCGGTTTATTCCGATTGACGAGACCAAGAGAGTAGGAGGAAAGACTGCGGTATGTGATAACTAAATAGTTGAGGTTAGACCTAAGCCAATGTATTTCACCCCTACAGAATAAAACACACCACACATCATATGGTGCACACGCACATATCATTTACGCTACGAGATCTGGTATTCTTGTTTCGGTGTCGATATATTGAAGTGTTGAAGGCAAATCCTACGCGGTCATCGTCGGTCGGCGTCATTTCTTTTATTCGCACTTCCATCGCACTCCTTTATTTGCGTGCTTCTTGTGATCGCACATTGGCATGTCGACCACACACTCGCCCCGGCGCAGCCCTCGAATTGGAAAGAGCGGGGCTACCGCAGCTACGACGACCACAGCCGCATCAACTGACAGCCGGATCGACATCGTGAGTACGGCTGGTGGATCCAAGCAGCGGCCACAGACTCCTAAGGAGAGTGGGACACAAGGAAGGAATCCGAGTGGTGCTGTACAGCCTGACGGATCAGGCCAGAGCACAAATCCCACCAACGTCCAAGTTGCTGCGCTGACGCAGAGGATCGCCATCTTGGAGAAGGAGCTGGAAAAGGCAAGGGCAAGTAAAGTGCAAGAGGCAGCCGCAAGGAAACCCGTTGGAAACGGAGTTAGCGGTTCTGGAGTGAGCGGTGCGGCGAATACACCGCCATGTTTGAGTGAAGAGCGGCAGATACTGAGTGCAAATCTACCGCAATGTTCGAGTGAGAATCTGATGCCCGATTTATCCGAGAGAGTGACGCCATCTTTAGATGCACAGTTGCCGTTCCAATTGAGTGGAAGTTTGCCGCCACAATTGAGTGGAAATTTGGCAATAGGGCGACAGTCACACTGAGCGCAAACTGTACAACGATGAGCTACTCCACGCCATATTGTGTTACGGCCACGGTGCTGCCAGAACAAAGTTACGTGCAGGCACTACGGGAGCCACAACACAACTTTATGATGCCCACAAATTCGCTTGGGTCATATGGAGCAGCATATGTCAAATGGATGGACGCCGCGTCGATTGCCTGATCTTCCTGAGTTTGAAGGTCAGCCAGAGGAATGGCCTATATTCCAATGCGCGTTCATGGAGACAACGGCAGCGTATCACTGTACAGCGCTGGAGAACAACCAAAGGCTAGTGAAGGCTCTGAAGGGTGAAGCGCGAGAGTCAGTTAAATCGCTGCTCATACACCCGAACAACGTTGCAGCTGTGATGGAGCAGCTGAAATTTCGATATGGACGTCCGGAGCAACTGATACGTAGCCAGCTGGAGAGCGTGCGAGATGTACAAGCAATTCAGGAGCACAATCTAAGCAAGCTTGTGCCATTTGCTACACGAGTCAGCAATCTCGCAGCGTTCCTACGGTCAACCACGGACGGAGTCCAGCACTTGAGTAATCCTACCCTGATGGTGGAGTTGATTGCTAAGTTGCCCCTGAGCAAAAGGTTGGACTGGGCTAGGTATGCTGCAGCAATAGGATCGTACCCAACGGTCTTGCACTTGAGCGAGTGGCTGAATGATCTCGCTAAACTGGTGTGTACGATCACGGATGCCGGGAGCAAGGATCCCAAACGGCGGGTACTGCATGCTAGCACAAGTCACATGGATCAGCAACGGCACAGCGACCGCACCAAGTGTTGCCCAATATGTGAAGAGGAGCACATGATCCAAGACTGCAAGGATTTCATCCATGCTTCTCCAGCATCCCGAGTTGAGTTGGTGAGGGAGCATCGGGTCTGTTTCTCGTGCCTGGAAAGTGGACATATGGTCAGGTTCTGCAAAAGGGATAAGAAATGCACTGTCTACGGATGCCAGAGAAGGCATCATTACCTACTGCACGACGGATTGGACAATCCCAGACGGCCACTACAGTCATACAGTCATACAGTTACCAACAAGGTAATCGCAAGCGATCACTGCATAACGGCGGTGATCAACGGAGGGATGACCCACAACATCGCAGCCATCAGATCCGACCCCGAGGAGGTCCCTAAGACGAAAGGCAGGTGCCAAAGGACGGCCCTGAAGTCGCACACCGGAACCTAAGCTGTGTCGATTCGGACGGAGGTCATCTACTCTTCCGCATCTTGCCCGTGACTCTGTACGGGGAAAACAAGCAAGTGGTCACCTACGCCCTGTTCGACGAAGGCTCGTCCGTAACAATGATGGATGACGAGCTCGCGCATAGCCTAGACCTGAAGGGCAAGAGTCGACAGCTTAACATTCAATGGTTTGGCGGGAAGTCCTCGAGCGAGAACGCGAAGATGGTGAGCTTGCAGATTAGCGGAACTGGGAAGCCGAAACGCCATGGGCTAAGGAATGTGTACGCGGTCTCGGATTTGAATCTACCGATGCAAAGCCTGCGTCGAGAAGATGTCAAAACGACGAGGACCAGTGCACGTTTGCCAATCAAGCCTTACTGTAACGCAGTGCCGAAGATCCTGATTGGATTGGATCATGCGCACTTGGGAATACCTATGCAAAGTAGGAGCTTTGGAGCAGGAGGACCATATGCAGCTGCCACCAAGCTCGGATGGGTAGTGTTTGGTCCGGTGAAACGTCAAGTAGGTTCACCAAACTCGAAATCGTGTCTCTTAGCATTCCCACATGATAGTTTTCTGGAAAAGATGGTCAGCGACTACTTCGAAATAGAGAATTTCGGGGTGAAGCCAGCGCCGCCCGTCGCAGCTAGCGGTGATGAAGATTCTACAGGAGACGACCAAACGAACGGGTCAACGATTCCAAACTGGTCTGCTATGGAAGGAGGACGACACGAGTTTGCCAAACAGCTACAACATGGCACTCAAGAGACTGGTCAAAATCGAGAGGAAAATGCGGCGTGATGCGAACTTCGCGCAGGCATACAATGGAATCATGGATGACTACGTCAAGAAGGGATACGCACGACGGCTAGAGCAGCAGGAAGTCACTTCAGTCAACAGTGACAAGGTCTGGTACCTGCCGCACTTCGGGGTCGAGAACCCAAACAAGCCCGGGAAGATTCGTCTGGTGTTTGATGCGGCCGCCAACGTTGGTGGAGTGTCCCTGAATTCAGCTCTGCTTAAAGGTCCACAGCAGTACAAATCGCTCCCAGCCGTGCTCTTCCACTTTCGGGAAGGAGCAGTGGGAGTATGCGCAGACATCAAGGAGATGTTTCATCAGGTGTTGATACAGCCACAGGACAGATGTGCCCAGAGATTCCTGTGGAGGAACGGAGACGACCGGCGGGTTCCAGACTTGTACGAGATGGAGGTGATGACGTTCGGAGCCGCATGTTCGCCGTGCTCAGCGCACTACGTCAAAACCCTGAATGCCTCAGGGTACCTCCACACAGATCCCCGCGCGGTGCTGGCCACCAATGAGTACCACTATGTGGACGACTACGTGGATAGCTTTGCAGACCAGAAAGAAGCTATCGCTGTATCAACACGGGTAAGAGAAATTCATGCTAACGCTGGTTTCGATTTGTGCCGGTTCTCTTCCAGTTCGGAAAGTGTGGTCAAGGCTTTGAACCCACAAGGATCCAATATGAATGTCGAATGGGCCGAAGCTGAGGAGAAGATACTGGGCATGTTCTGGCAGCCGGCTGCAGATGACTTCAAATTCAGCGTCAAGTACCATCGGGTGGCCAGCAGCGTTATGACCGGGGAACGTGTCCCCACCAAAAGGGAGTTCCTAAGCCTCGTCATGTCTACCTTTGACCCGATTGGATTCTTGAGCTGCTACCTGGTGACCGCCAAAGTTCTGATGAGAGAGATTTGGCGGAGAGGAGTGGACTGGGACGAGCCGCTGCCAGCAGAATTGGCCACAGCGTTTGAGATCTGGCGGCTAGACATGAACTACGTGAGAGGATTCCGATGTCCGCGCCACTACTTTGGCGTCGGATGCGTGCGGGATCTGCAGTTGCACGTCTTCGTGGACTCAAGCCTATCGGCGTTCGCTGCGGTGGCTTACTGGAGAGCCACATATGATGACGGCAATGTGCCGTCATGTGCCCCGATGAAGACCATGTCGATACCACGACTGGAACTTCAAGCAGCCGTACTGGGAACGAGACTGATGGACACCGTAAAAAGGGAGCACGGTGTATCGATCAGCAGCTGCGTACTCTGGACCGACTCCAAAACGGTTCTGCACTGGATAAGCAGCACCCACCGGCGCTACAAGCAGTTCGTTGGAAACCGGGTTGCGGAGATCTTGGAGTCCACAGAAGCACCCCAATGGAGATGGATACCGTCTGCCGAAAACGTGGCAGACGATGCGACGCGGCCGCAAATCCACGTGGATCTGGATCAAGGATCACGTTGGCTAAGTGGGCCTCCCTTTCTACGGGAACCTGAGGACGAGTGGCCGAAATCTTCTTCGGGTGATGGTGGCTACCCGCGAACCGCGGATGAAGAAGAGACGCCATGTGAGTTTGCGCTGGTTATAGCAAACTCCTTTATATCTTTCCAGAGGTTCTCAAGCTACAACCGATTGGTCAGGGCCACTGCCTGGGTACTCCGGTTTATCCGACGGTGTCGCGGACACCGTGAGAAGAGTACGGGCTAACTGCGGCTGATTGCGCCGAGGCAGAGCGCACGCTGATCCGGCTGGCGCAAAGTGAGGCGTTCGCTGAGGAGACGCAACGGAAGACTGTCACAAAGGACAGCCAATTACGAGGGCTGTCGCCATACGTCGACGAAGACGGAGTCATACGTGCGTGTGGAAGGATCGATGCGGCCGCGTGCACGCCATATAGTGCGCGGCGCCCAATCATACTGTCGCACAAACACGCACAGGCAGAGATGATCGTCGGTCATTACCACGATAAGATGCGGCATCAAAACCTGGATGCGACCATATGCGAGATCCGGAAGAGGTTCTGGATAACCAACTTGCGGAGGTTACTACGGAGGGTGGTAACCAATTGCCACATCTGCAAACTGCGAAGAGCACGACCCAGACAGCCAAGGATGGGTCCCTTGCCAGAGGACCGGCTCGAGGCCAATGGATGGCCATTTAAGTATACCGGCCTGGACTATTTGGGGCCGCTGATGGTGACGATTGGACGTCGAACGGAGAAGAGGTGGGTCGCACTGTTCACCTGCCTAACTACAAGGGCCATCCACTTGGAAATGGCACATGATTTGTCGACAGATTCGTGCATCATCGCGATGAGGAACTTCATGTGCCGCCGTGCACCTGTGGTCAGGATGAGAAGCGACAACGGAAAGAACTTCGTCGGTGCTGACAGAGAGGCCAGGAAATTCAACGAAGTCTTCGAACCGGAGAAGATCCAGGGCGAACTGTCGTCCAGAGGAGTCGAATGGATCTTCAACTGTCCGGAAAACCTAGCTGAGGGAGGCGTCTGGGAGAGAATGGTGCAGTGTGTGAAGAAGGTGCTGGCGCATACTGTGAAGGAGGTGGCGCCTAAGGAGCATGTGCTGGCAAGCTTCCTGATTGAGGCGGAAAACATCGTCAACTCGCGTCCGCTCACACACTTGCCAGTCACGGTTGATCAGGAAGCCCCATTGACACCGAACGACCTGCTGAAAGCAGCAGCCGGCGTACCGGACCTTCCAGGAGACGAGGGTCAGTCGCCTAAGAAGTTCGCCACAAGGAAACAGTGGCGGATTGCCCGGATGATGAGAGATCGGTTCTGGAAACGCTGGGTACATGAGTACCTACCAAAGCTTGTACGCAGGGAGAAGTGGTGCGAGCACGTCGAGCCAATGCGTCGTGGAGATCTCGTGTACGTATGCGATCCTGCCATACCAAGGAGAGAATGGAGGCGAGGCATCGTTGAGGAGGTGTATGCTGGAGTGGACGGAGTACCACGACGAGCGGCCGTGCGCGTGGCCAGCGACGATCGATCCAAGCTTATGATGCGTCCCGTCTCCAAGTTATCTGTACTGGATGTGGTGAATGCAGCTGCTTCACGGGGGTCGGGATGTCGCGGAACGGATTAGCTCTAACGATCGATAGTATTCGCATCTAGTATTTTTGAAGAGATTAGGTATGCGGTCACATTAAAGTTAAGAAGTCAAGCCATGTTTCCCGCTTCGGTTTATTCCGATTGACGAGACCAAGAGAGTAGGAGGAAAGACTGCGGTATGTGATAACTAAATAGTTGAGGTTAGACCTAAGCCAATGTATTTCACCCCTACAGAATAAAACACACCACACATCATATGGTGCATACGCACATATCATTTACGCTACGAGATCTGGTATTCTTGTTTCGGTGTCGATATATTGAAGTGTTGAAGGCAAATCCTACGCGGTCATCGTCGGTCGGCGTCAAGTGGTTATCAATGGAATCGAATGATAAGGGATTCGAAGTCAAAATGGCTATGAACATAAGAAATAGAAATAAAATTCCCTAGCCAATGTTCAAAGTAGAACTGACACCTGAAAGTATGCATATAAGTAAAAATTAAGTTCACCCAATATACAAGCTTCAATATCTACTGCACCGTAGGATCACCGTTGAGGAACCACACAAACGAAATGGACCTGTCCAATGCATAAATTGCCAGGAATATGGACATACGAAAACCTATTGCACTCTACGGGCATTCTGCGTTGCCTGTGTTGATGTTAATCTCACTGAGGCCTGCCCCGTAAATAAGGAGGACCCATCTGCCAAAAAATGTAGCAACTGTGGGGAAACCATACTGCAAACTATAGAGGTTGTCCTGTCTATAAAGAATTGAAAACTCGCCTAAACCAACAAATAACTGCAGCTCGAAACCCGGTCGTCCGACAAAACTTAACATATATACCATCAACTACGACTCCAAGAGTTTCTTTTGTTCAGGCGTTAAGTTACAACAACGGGTCGTACGCCTCAGTCTCTAAGCCTACACTTCAACCAACCACAGCTGAAATAATGCAGCATCAGGCATCAACTCAGATCTCAGAAATCTCTGCCCAACATACCTCTGCTAATCAATCCCAATTGCCTACTGGTATTGAGTCAATGCGGGTAACTATAACTAACACAATGGTAGCAATACAACAAACGATGCAGGAGCTTATGCGCAACCAAAATCTCCTCCTCGAGCTCCTAATCAAACAGAAATCTGTCTAAATGGCCTGTCTAAATATATGTTTCTGGAATGCAAATGGCATTTCGCAGCACAAATGCGAGCTCTTACAGTTCCTCGCTCAACACGACATTGACGCCATGCTCATATCAGAGACTCACCTAACAAACTATTTTCACCTCGATGGCTATAACTTCTATGCGACGAATCATCCCGATTTAAAGGCACATGGAGGTACTGGCGTTATCCATTGCCTTCATTTGCTACACCTTATCTACAGGCAACAGCAATTCATAGTGAAATTCAGAGCGGCTACCTAAACCTAGCCGCAGTATACTGCCCACCCCGCTTCTGCATTTCCGAAACAGAATTTGTAACATTCTTCGACCTACTAGGTGACCGATTTATAGCAGCTGGTGACTACAATGACAAGCACACCCATTGGGGATCTAGACTTACCAACCCGAAAGGAAGACAACTATATAACGCTATAATAACCCCACGAAACAAGCTAGACTTTATATCTCCGGGCAAGCCCACATATTGGCCCACAGATCCAAACAAGCAACCCGACTTGATTGATTTTGCAGTTACACGAAGGGTGCTGCAAGCTCAGATTAATGTAGATCACTTAACATCATCGGATCATCGGATCTATCATCGGATCACTCGCCCATTCTACTTCAGATTTACGACCATCCACAGCATCGGAACGCCCACACTTTCTAACTTCTGGCAAAACAGATTGGGTAAAATACAGGAAGTACATAAGCTCTCATATTGATAGCTGCCCAAACATTAATTGTATAGATGACATTGATAGGTCAGTCGAAGCATTGGTATCCTCAATGTCACTGGCAGCAAAACACTCAACATCAATATTAGCATCTAATAAACTTTCAAACAGCAGTCGTATTTCTAGGCACATTGAAGTGCTGCTACGCGATTAAAGAAGGCTTCGCCGAGATTGGCAAGCACACAGACCACCTTCTTCGATAGTGCGGCTAAAAATAGCCAAGTCTTCAAACCCCACCACCAACAAATAACTTTGGTGGGAGCCACAACAATCCCGGAGCTACTCCGCCTATCATATTCCAATCAGGAGAAGTCACAAGGGTCATTAACCCGTTAAGCGCCGAGTGTCTTTAAAAACAGAAATGTTGAAATCGATTGTTTTTATATATTAATAGGAACATAATGAACACAAAAATAGAATATCATTAAAATAAAATGAATTAAGTTTTTAAAATTTTATTTTTTATTCGGGTACAATGGCAAAATATGGGAGCCATACCGTCATGTGATAAATAACACTACTCAACAAAATTGAACTTTTTATTTAGGCTGTGAACCAAAATTACTTTTTCTGATAGATGTCGGGATTTAAAACTTGTTGTAGTAATTTATTTTTTTGTATGGTGTCATTTTTTTTAAAGAATTTTTAAAATCTGGTATTTTTTTCATGGTTTTTTTCAGAGGTAGTGCTTCTATTTTTCACATAACTTAAGTATCTTATATCTGTTGCACTTCTGAAAAGCTGACAAATGCAGCTATAAATCGGGCCCAGACACTTTTTATCTGCAGCTTAATGCCTGAAAGATATTAAGCTTTCAAAGTCAAATTGAATCATTTTTTGCGGTTTTTTTTTCTTCGAAATTTTGACTTTTAAATTTCGGAAAAAGTCGAAAAAAAATAATTCTCCTCCAACATTTTTAGTTTTAGATAGACGCATTAATTAGGCGTCGTTTAAGGTATTGTTAATTAAAATATATGGATAAACGGTCAACTGGCAGCCGCTTGACCGAAACGACTCAAAACTAATTTTACCTGAAAAATACCGTTGCTGGTCCAATGCCAAAGGAACACGTTCAGGTACGCAAAAAAATTAGGAAATTTGAATTTGAAAGCTTAATATTTCAGGCGTTAAGCTGCAGATATAAAAGTTCTGGGTCCGATTTATGGTTGCATTTGCCAGTTTTTCAGAACTTAAAAGTTCTATGCAACCAAATATAAGATACTTAAGTTATGTGAAAACTAGGCTACGCGAAAATCCTCCAGCTTAACCCTCCCAGAGGGTGCCAGTCGGGCAATGGGCACTGCATTATCCCGGATCGGGTAATGCATTGCCGCTTGCTCTGTCCGAGGAAATGCAGTGTCTAGCTAAGGCCAGGTCCAGGTCTTCCCGATATAAAATTAGGGGGAACTGAACCATGGCCAAGGCTGGAGGTGCCTGGCGGTCAGGTATAAAACGCTAGGGGGTGGTCCCCCCGATAAATATTAACCACATGGACCGGAGCAAGGATCGAACAGGGACTGGGATGTCAGTCCAAACGTCGGTGGAAAGCGTGACTGCTACCACCGGCGGGCACGGGGAGGAGCAATCCTCTCTGCGTGTCGCCAGCGGTCACAACTCTATTATGGCGGGAGCAGGTCATATTAGTTTCAAAGCTACTGCCACCAAAACGCCTCTCTGCAAGCTGAGCCGCACGGGTGCCGTGGTCGAAACAGACTCGGACCTGGAGAGCGTGCTCAGCGTAAGCAGAACGGAGGAAGAGAGCCTTCTCCGCTCAGCTCCCTGCGTAGGGAAGGGCCGAAGAGTTCTAGGGAGGGGATGAAGGCTAAGGCCCAATACAAGGCGGCGCTCAAGATCCGAAGCCGGCTCCAAGGCAGAGAAGATATCTCCCAAGAGGAGAAGTCCAAGCTAGCCTGGGCCGAGCAGAAGGTAGAGGAGGGCCGCCTACACTTTGCACAAATGCCGCAAATGAAAGCGACGAAGGGGGAATTTGCCAACAAGGTGGAGGAGATTCTCGCCACCAAAAGGCAACGCTCGACCGAGAGCGTCAGTAAGGACACTCCGGCGAGCAAGCGGCAACGCGGGCCCAAAGGGGTGGGACCTCCACCCAAAACGGCAAAGAAGCCCAAATCCAAGGCGAAGGTCAATGAGGTGACCAAACGACACCTGATCGTGGCACTCATTGACCGGAGCGATGAGAATGGCAAGATGACGGAGGCGCGGTGGAAGATGGTGCACGCGCAGCTCGTAAAGTCGCTGTTCGGAAGAATGGAGGAGGACCCAACAGCCCCCGTTCGATGGTGCTGGGTGGCTTAACGGGGTCCCCACACTCAAGTGGCTGATGCAAACGGTCTGCCAAATGGAGGCGATGTGGGAGGGGGCCAGACTGGAGGTTGTGGACAGGGAGCTAATCCCGTCCATACCAAAGGCGAAGGTACTCTTCCCCATCGCAATCCAAGGAAGGGGACCGTGCGCTGAGGCTGCTACAGCGGCAGAACCCAGACGTGCCAACGGCTGACTGGAAAATCTTGCATGCTGGTAGCCTATTACCCAATGAGGGGGGCCAGCACATGATCCTCCAGATCAATAAGGAGGCAGAGGACATCCTCTACCCGAAATTCGGGAAGATGGCATAGGGCGTAGGCTAGACACTGCCTACGTCTCAAAAAGCGCCACCCCGAAGATAAGGACGCGCACACCCTGCAGGCAGGCGAGGTGGAGAAGGACCTAGGTCTGGAGTCCATCGTGGAGGCCGCCCAGGATCTTGCGCTGGACGACTCTGATGCCGCAAGGGACGAGGACGGTGACCTGACTATAATAGTCAACCCGTCGTGTGCAGTTGAGCCAGCCTCATATGACATTGAGAGTGCTGCAGCTCAACTTGCATAAAAGCAAGGTCGCGTCTGCGGAGCTCCTCATTGCCTTGGAGCAAGGGCCCGGCGACATAGCTTTGGTCCAGGAGCCATGGCTTGCCCCCGGCAATGCTGTGGCCGTCCTGCTACATGGCACACGACAGACCAGCTCCACCGGAGGAGCTAAGGAGTCTGGTGGCGGAAGCCAGTCCGAAAGACCAGCAACTTCTAGTTGGTACGGACGCCAATGCCCACCATAGCGTGTGGGGAAGCCC